TCTTATCAGTGTTTTTCTCTAAGTGGAGGCGCAAAACCCTCAGGGGATGTGGATGTTGAAGTTTTAAATCAGGAATAGTTTATTCAGTTCTTTAGAACAAATCCAAGTGAGATGAAAAGAATAAGGAAGTGCCAGGAGCCATTGTAGTCTTTGGGATAATGTCCTAGCTAAAGAGGTGCCTAAAGCTGTCAGTTTGTGCTACAAATTAGAACATTTTTATAACGTGTCATTTGTCTACAAGACTAAAGTTGTTCATATCTTTTCTTAGCTTAACTGCAAGGTGAGCCGTGAAACATGACACATCACAGAGGTAGGATTACAAACAGGAAGTAGCCAAATTATTATGTGGTCTGGCCTAACAAGAAAGTCCTTTTGCCCAGAGCTACCTGTTTAACTACTCTGTTAGAGCAGTCACAAAGAAGAGTGTAGGCTGTTCAAAGTTTAAACTTATGATTTATGCATTGTGTTTGTAAGACTTGGCCTAAAGTGGTTTGCATCATCTAGAGACGTTATCAGAGCACAGAAACCTTTCAGCTTCAGTGAAAAAGGAACAGAGAGAAGAAATGAGTTAATGGCTGTTTGCCACATATACACGCTCTAAAGCAAACAGTCAAGTGTGAGAGAGAGAGAGAAACTACATCCTACTCTGCTAAGCGCACACAGGGAACGTGATGGAGAGCAACAGCTGCGTAAACTGATAAGCAGAGCTGCAGAGGCGAGAAGTAAGGCCTGTGAGGCTGCGTCTGGTTCCCAAGCCAGAGAGAGAAAAGAAAGCCAGTCTGAAGATGAATATGATGAAAGCATCAGGCCACAGCTAGAGGATGGACTAAAATAACAAGAGCTTTAAACCATGAAGCGTTGTTTTCATCTGTGCAGCCTCCATATGTCATGTATATTTAGTGTGCATTATATTATGTGGTAATTATTTAATATCTTTTGGGTTTGTTTGTTTGTGTCTTCTCTGTTCCCAGTGGACATCTGGTCAGTGGGGTGTATCATGGGAGAGATGGTAAAAGGCAGCGTCATCTTCCAGGGCACTGACCGTATCCTTCACTGCTCTCACCGTCTCTGTGCCACTTCTTCCATCTTTCACCCTCCATCTAACTTCTATTTAGAACAAAATATCTCATTCATCTTGACAATTTTTTTTCTTATACTTCCTCTGGCACACTTGTCTGTCAAGACATTTTCCTGTTATACCCTCTAAACATAATCTGTTGAATAGGACCACTCTAGATTTCCAGCACAGACCAATTTAGAGAGCATGATTCATTTGTTTTTCTGCCCTCTTGATGATTATTAATCTGTGAAGTTGTTTTTCAGATCACTCTAATGCCCTTAATTGACAGAGGGAATCAAATTGAAGCGATTCAATTCATTTGCATTTATATTGGCCGTTTCTCTGTTTCTTATGGGTTTGGTCACCTCTTCACTCACCAGCTCCTTTAGTGGCACTGTCCATTTACACCTGAGTAGCTGAGAATGGATGCCGGCCGCAGTGTGATTCTAGGATAGATTGCTTTTCATCGGGGGGAAGTAATAGCCTTTTACTGAAATTGTAAGTCAGCGTGCCGGCTGAATGTGCATATCTGTATTTTTAGCCATGCTGGACTGTCGGTCTAACTCCAGACTATAATATCTCAACATCATAGACATGCATGATTCGCAGATCACATTTAATACATTACAAACTGTGCTGATTACTAAGTTTGTGCTAATTAGCAAATGTTAGCATGCTAAACTAAGATCTGAACATGGCAAAAACTACACCTGCATCTGTAAAAACATCAGCATGCTATCATTATTATTGCGAGCAAGTTAGCATGAATGCAAAGTGACTCTGCACCTTATCAAACGTCTCTTTCATTTTCTGATACACATACATGCCCATAATGCCGCTTTTGCAGTTTTCCATAACAAGCATGTTGTCTAGACATCGACCAGTGGAATAAGGTCATTGAGGTTCTGGGCACGCCCAGTCTGGAGTTTATGAACCGACTGATGGAGACCGTCAGGAACTATGTGATGAACAAGCCGCAGTATCCTGGTGTCAGCTTCGCCGAGCTTTTCCCAGACTGGGCCTTTCCTTCTGACTCAGAACATGACAGACTGAAGAGTAAGAATTTTTGACACTAAAGTACATTTGTTTATCATAACTTTAAATGCACATTGTTACAGTTTCAGCATAGATACTTGAGAAGATTTCATGGTTTTTAAAATCTCTTACTAAGGGAATTTCCATAATGTATAGATTTTATCAAAACAGAGGCTTTTATCTGCAGTATATTGATGTAATGAGACATTTCTCAACAAAATTATATTAGAAAAGGAGCTGAAAACCCTTATACAACTAGCTCAAAGAATGACCATGCAGGTCAAAAGTTTCTCTGCCCGAATCTGTGGCATTTAGAGTTAGAGATCACATTACTGAAACCAGAGAACAAATCTTGACATTCCCAGAGATGTTACCCAACACCACAAGGGGAAGTAATCAGCTCTCATGAAGACCGCTTAAATGAAGTGATGTCATCATGAGCCTCTTTCCATAGTAACACTGTCCCTCCTCTGTTGCCATAACAGCGAGTCAGGCACGGGACCTGCTATCCAAAATGCTGGTCATTGATCCTGAATGCCGCATCTCTGTAGAAGAAGCCCTCAATCACCCATACATTCACGTGTGGTATGACCCTGGGGAGGCTGACGCGGTGAGGAGACTGTTCCAGTGGTGGTACACTTGCAGTCGCTGTGTTTGACCTTGCTGATATATTTATTTCTCTTTGTTTAACAGCCTCCTCCCCAGATTTCAGATAAGCAGCTGGAAGAGAGGGAGCACAGCATCGAGCAATGGAAAGGTAGGATGCGCTGCCCTCTAGGGAAATCTGTCAGCAGTGCAGCTTAACAGCCTGTTCATTTTTACATTCAAGTTACAAGAAACTAAACCTAACCCTATTAAGGATCATGTTTCTTCTATAACCATATGTACATATACTCTTGGTGGACTGTGCAAAGCATTTGAAGTTACACTGAAAAAATTACCGTTGTTTATTTTGACTTTTTTCATAATTTTTTGCCAGGACACTGTTTCAATTAGATCCAATTAAAACCAACTAAGATACTTGGTGTAGGTTGATATGGCAATACACAAACATGGAAAAAAGTGTAAAGGTAGCAAAGGAATCCAACAATCCTGGAAAGTTTGTTTGGACTGAACACTGTCAAAGTGTGCTTTACTTGAGAAATAGACCTTTTTATGCCTTGTGCATGAAACCGACTCAACAACTCTAAAGACAAAAAAATATTTTAATTTTGTGTCTACAGTTGTGGTAGCTAAAATATGTGTAGGTAATGTTATAATTAAATAATTACTTAAGAAAATAGTGTTGCTGAGTTTTTGCTGCTTGTCTTCCTGCACAAAATTTTTAACCATTCCGGCTGCACACAAACGTCACTTTTCTTTCTCACGTGGAAAAATCTTACAAGAAGTTTTATTCTGAAAAATGTGTCACTTGTCAACATTTTTTCTTTGTGACAAATCGTTTTAAAACCCAGCGTCCTAACCAGAAAATAGGCTACATCCTGAACACACAATGATTGCACCTAATATTTTCTGGTTTTCTACAGAACTCATTTATGAAGAGGTGATAGACTGGGAAGAGAGGAACAAGAACGGACTGATGAAAGAAGATTGCTCAGGTACGTACATGCTCTGTCTTCATTTATCATCTGCGATATTGGGCAATCCACTGCTGTAAGGAGTGGTGTCAGATCACAACTAGCTCGAGCTCGCACCTGGTTTCCTGGTTTATTAACTCTAAATAATGTTCTTATCTGTACAACTACCTAAACGTATGCCCTGGTTCTCTCCATGTGTGTCATGTATCAGATGTGGTGTCCGGTTCAGCCTCCCAGTCCTCATCAGCCAACGACATCTCGTCCATGTCCATGGAGCAAACCTTGGCCTCGGACACAGACAGCAGCAGCATTGACACACTGACGGGGCCGCTGGACGAGAGTCAGTGAACACAGTCCATGGCCACGTGTGTCTGCCTGTCTGCTTGCCTCAGTTCCCCCTTCCCATTTACAATATCCAAATATCACTTTCCTTTCTTCTCTTTACTCTCTCATCTCCCCATTTTCTTAAATGTTTTGTCCCTTTTTTTAAATCATGTTTCTCTCCGTTCCTCTTTAACCTCAATGAATAGGTCTATTTTTCTATTGTTTTTCTGTGTGTGTGATGTGGCGGATCTTGTTGATCGCCTTCAACTCCAGACTTTGTTTCTTTTTGGACTCCTGCCTAGAGGTCAACGCTATCTATTCTATCTGTTGGGTCAAAGGTTTATCTTTCTCTTCCCTGTGGGTATTGTTTAAGTTCATCAAGTATATATGATGTACGCATCCATATGAATTTTCAGGTTACCAGGAGTAGGTTGGGGATTGTTGTTTGTTCTGTATGCCTGTATTTTAATAGTTTTATTTTTTTAAGTTGAGACCAGAGGTTATTATCATCAAACTAGAGCAGACACGCACTGAACATAGACCACAGCTGCCAGCTGCTCTCATGCATGTTACGCCAATACGAACAAAAGCTTATCGCACCGACCATCTGATGTCCATCTGATGATCAAACACTCATCCAAAGTTTGATCGATCCTTTAGCTAGCTCACAGTATTGCAGATCTCCACAGTGGTGCTTTCTGCACAGTGTTTTAATTAATTGGCTTGAGTGATGTGGATTATGAGCTTTTCCTCCTGACAGCTACGGGAAGCTGTGCTTGCAGTGTTACAGTTTTATTTTCTGATATAATGTACTGTATGTAAAGATGTCATAATCTGACACTCACAGTGGCTGTAGACTCTTTCACGGCTAATAGATAAGATGTGCTTGTTTTGTTAAGAGACTCAACATATCTGTAGAACCATATATTGAAATCACCCCCATTTGACAAAAGGTACTGACTAACAATGTGTATATCAAAAAGAATAGATCATAATCCTGTAAATCTGGGAGAGGCAAAAAGATACATGTAGTATTTATTTTTGTGTTCTTGCAAAATGTTGCACACAATCACATTGAGGCCCATGTAAGTTAAGCCTCGTGTCAAAGCATTTCATGGACAAATCAATGCATTGGCTGCTCCTTTTCTGAACCATTCCATTAGTACTGGAACAGTAACAAAATTAATCATGACTCAGACATCATGTAGAACACACGTAAAGGCAGTAAAACACAAATAATGGTGTTGAACTTGCATGAAGGCATTAAAAATGCCATTAAGATACAGTAGTTCTTGTTATAAAAAATCCATTCAGGTCAGTTCTTTCACTTACAGTACCTTGATGTTCTTGGTTCTGAAAGCCTGTTTGATGCAGATGTTGTATTTTTTCTTTCTTTCTTTTTTTGCTTTGTAAGCCTGTGTGTGTGTGTGTGTGTGTGTGTGTGTGTGTGTGTGTTATCGATGATGTACTGTGCAGCGCTCTCCTTCATGATGTCCGTTGAATCGTTCTTAAAGACAGTAGTCACCTAGTTGCAAAGGCTGCGTCACTGGAGGAAGTTGGCCCCTCAACAAAAAGCAGATGTGGTTTAAAATGAGGATGTGACTGTGGAGTCCTGAATGAAAATCTGCTGGACCTTGGAACCCAAGATGGAAACTTGAAATGAACCTTGGAGCTGCTTTTTGCAGAACTGATTGCACAGTGTAATGGACATGCAGAGAAAATGACACTATGGAGTCACTGAGGACTTGAAGCACCATGTTGTACACTATATTTTCCTTTTATAAATCATGACCTTATTCTTTCAGTCATGCCTTAAATGACCAGAGGAGTGGCCAATTCACTCCCAAAAATCTTATCAGATAAGGACTGAGCATTACGATGCTCAGAACATCTTATGTGTTTACCATGTTTTAAAAAAAAAAAAAAAGATCCATTGTATGCACTGTACATCTCACATTTTTTTGTTCAGTTTGTTTCTCCTTTTATTTTCAGAGATGTCCTGTGTGATTGCAATGACCACAATATAATCACTTGGCCAACATATTTTGCCCTAATGTAACTAATAAAGTGGACATCAGTGATTAATTTTCTTTCAGTGATGTTGTTTTGTACATTTCTCAGATTCTTAGTGAAGACATTCTGCATCGATCGTGACAAATTACTTTTCTAGATCCTAACTAGAGTTTAAAGACTAGCCAGTCTTGTGCCTGTTGTCCTTCACTTTGCACACACTGTTCATATCATCACACTTTTTTTTCTTTTTTCTTTTTCTTAAAAACTCTTGACAATACATTCTGTCTTCTTGGCCTCATTGTTGAGCTCTCCAAAGGTGTCAAAGAACTGCTCCATCTCCTTCTGCAGAGTTGCATTGCGTAGTTCTGCGGCAGTCCGGGCCCTTTCAGACTCCACGATCTTAGCCTGGACAACCTGGTACCAGTGCCGCTGCTGTACGAGGTTTGCTTTCAACCGAACGACCTCTACCTGCAACTCTTCGTTTCTTTGCTCTAGGCTGGTGGTAAAGGCACAAGGAAGTTAGGGAGAAAGACAAGAATATAGAATGACTGGGTGTTGATTGGTTACAGCAGGTTTGATTCTTGGTGCCTGATACATTTAGATAAGACAGAACAGGTGGCTTACAAGGTTGAGTTAAAGTGTACAATCAAATCTATTGCTTTCTGTACTCTGTCGAGCTAAAGGAATTGTGATTTTCCTTATGCCCTTGCGAAGCAGTACCAATGACCTTACACTGAGACTTGCTCTATCTATATCAGTAATAAATGAGGTATGTGTTGTGTCTAGGTCAGCAGCATGGCCCCTTAAATTAGCTCTCTTTCCAGTGCCATGAGCTGTTTCTATAGGTCAACCACACAGGCTCTGCTTTCTTTATTAAAACCAAAAAGCTATTTACCAATAAGCACATTGTGAATTTATCTTTTAGGAGTTTAAGGTACATCCAAGTCGTTAACATTAAATATGTAATAAGTTGAGATTTTCACAGTAGACAGTAACAGAGGTGGTTAAATAGAATGTAAATAAGGACTTTATTAGTAATAATATTAATACAGTCTGTGTGCTTAATATAGCAGGCCATGGAGGAATTTTGGAAAAAGTTTAAAGTAATCTAATAACAGTTGTCAGTGTGCTGTGAACTAAACAGGATATAGGGTGAAGTTTGGGGTCAACTGAGGCCCTGGAACATTGTGTTACCCTTCACTGGAAATATACCACGGGCTGGAAAATTCTCACAGGAAAGTCACTGACGTGAAAGTGTAATACTGAAGCCACGAGCATGAGCACATTCAATTTAGGACATTTCATTTGTCTGTTACATGCTGTGCCTAATCTCTGCAAAGTGATTATGTGCGCTGTGTAGTTTGAAATGGAAATGCAAGACAAAACAACATGAACATTACCTGATTATTCGTGCCTCATACTCCTCCCTCTGTCTGACTATTTGCTGTTGGATGCTGGTGAGGAGGCTGCGAAGGGCACTCGCGGAGGGGTCAGCCAGGGGTACGGGAGGGGGCACCCTAGGGGACCAGGATGGCTGCTGTGGGTGATGGGCTTCAGCTGGGGGCCACAGAACATGGCACTCAGTTTGGGATAACGGAGGGGAACTCGCTGCAAGATGCTGTTGAGGAGGTGATACTGGGAGCTTGAGGTGCAGCATCTTGTCCCCCTGCTTAAATCCAGAGTCCAGCTCTGGCTCCTGTTCGCTCTTCTTATCTTGGTCTGGATTCTGGCCCTGGTTACTAGAACCACTTTCAGCAAGGATGATCTCACAGGAGGACCAGGGGCTCTTGTCTTCACTTGCTCCCTCATCATCCATCAGTCCCTGGAGCTGCTCAGGGGCCCATGCTCGATACATCTGCTCCTGCAAGTGCTCCTGGAAGCTTGTTTCCATGTCAAAGACCTCTTGGAGGCTGTCAGGGGTAACAGCTTCAGGGAGGTTATCATACAGAGAGAGAGCACTCCTGTGCTCCTCACTCTGGGATGGATTGGGGCTCTGGTTCAGATGAGCTCTGTTCTCAACTCCCCTGGTACCTCCCTGTTCTCCTCCTCTCTCCCCGCCTATTGTTCTGTTTACGCCTGGATCCAGCTCTGCTTCCCAGCCTGCTCTTCCCAGGCCACCTCTCCAGCTGCAGTAGCTGTGATCTGGCCAGGCGCCAGTCCCTCTTCCCCCACTGACCAGTGTGGGAATCTTAGCTGGGGCCAGACCAGGCAGAGGGCTGCAGGGGCCTGGGAGTCTGGTTACAGCCGGGCACACAACCCTACTCTCCATTTCCTTTACCCTGGCTCTCCCTCGCTGGGCAAAAGGTGGGCAGTTGTCGTACAGGGGGTCCGTGGAGCAGGAGCTGGCTGTGGTGGGGGTCTCAGTGGGAAGACAGTGCAGCTCCATGATCTAACCAGGCACATGGGAGTGCTGAGAGCCAGAGATAACTGCCCACCCCTCCTCTGTCTGCTGTAACTTGGGATTCAAGCCTTGGATTGGGGATTTGTGAGCGGGGTACAGAACCTGTGCCAAGTGCTGTTGTGTCGTGGGAGAGGAAGGTGTAGGAACCCTCCTCCCCCTTTGGCTGGCTCTCTGCAGTGAAGCTGCTGCCTAATGGTAGACAGGTTGCAGTCTGCGTGTGTGTGTGGGGTGCGTGTATGTGTGTGTGTGTCTTTAAGTAGGACTGACATCAGCTGTTACTTTAGCACAGCTTCTGAGGGAGGGACCAGGGTGTAATATAGTCTCATTCCTAAAGACAGTCACACATAGCTGCAACCACAGAAATAGACAGTGGCCATGCGCACAAAGTGTGAAGCACACACAATGAACCCCATAATCTGCACACAATATTACAGTGCCATCTGCCAAAAACACAAAACGTAGAGATTTGACATAATACAAGCTTTTTAACAATTAAAGAAATGCTACAGTGCTTATCAGGATTAATTTTGCTGCACGGTCCTCTTACCTCAGTTGGGTCATTGATTTTCCTTCTCTGTTTTAACGCACTCTGTCTGCAACGCTGTAGGATGTGTTAACAGCCAAGTGCTTGTACTGTGGACAGAAGTTCACTCCGTGGAATCTGCCAACGTGCATTTATCACAGCTTGGACAGCTCAGCACCAAACCAGTGACACATCATATAGTTTCAGCTGGCATTCTCAAATCATGGAGGTTGCCTATTTAACCCACACTGTATGGTAGAGAGGAAAATTGTGCTTGAGCTGTGTCGAGGAAAGGTTTTATGTTATTTCAGGGGTACAAGTTAAGGACACAAAGGGATGATTGGGAGAATCTGCATGAGAGAGAGAAAATTAGAGAACTGGCTAAATATCTGCAGACACACACTCACTTCCTCACTAGTGTTGTGGTCAGTGCATCTTAAAACCACAAGGTGGAGCTATAGACAACAGTATTAAAGCCTCCACTTTAAATGGGCGGTGTACAGTGAAATCATTTAAGACATTTTGAAGACAAAGTGACGTTTCAGAGCAACAGTATCCAGAGAAATATGATTTAATTTCGTGATCAAATATATTTTTATCGCTTAGGATAACGATTTTGTGAGCTGTTTGCCTCCTATGCATTATTTTTTCAGTTTGATGACTTTTTGATCCATGTTGAGTCGTAGAGACAGTAAGTTGTTTTTTTTAGCCTTATAAAGATCAAATAAGGCCTATTGATCCTCTATTGTTCACACAACCCAGTGAAGAACTCTTTCATTAGCGTGATGCCATGAAGGAAACACTATAAAAGGCACTTCCTCTTGATCAGAGGGAACATCCATATAGACACGTCCTTAAATCACCTCCAGTCAAACGACTACAGAGAGTATGGAGGAAGTGACGTCTCTCAAATGTTTTTTTAACCACACGTGCTGCCTATTTATTTTGAGATTACTCTACATTACTGAGAACAAAGTGTTCCACAAGAGCTTTCGACTATCGCTGCAATGCTTCAAAAATCAAGGACACGCTGCAAACTTTATTTCTGCATGGGCACATTTAGCAGTCAGTTGTCCGTCAACACTGATAAACTCCACTTTTATCTGCCCTATGTAAATTGCCCTGCATCCTTCAAGGCTGCACAGACAGTAGAGGAATCACAATGTTTTATCTGTTTGTAGACGTGCGTTGCAAGATTTAAACGGGGCATAGTTTCCTCCCTGCACTGTCCTGAACTAATACAAGAAAATCTTTGTGGAATTTGAGAAAAGTGTTGCTGTAGTGCTCAAGGTGAGACCAGAAAATGCTCTGAAAGAAAACAACCAGCTGGAATACCAGACATGTGCTTTAATCTCCCTCATATCCCTCTGAGGCTTTGCCCTGACCTCTATCTGTCATTGAACAAAGGACAACCTTGTCGTCTTTAACCCCTCGCCCCCGAAACCCCGTGACTTATCACAGCTGGATCTCCGCCACACAGAGATTAAGTTTCCTCCAAGACCGATTATTGCCCCCAACCCTTCCTTCTCCCTTCGTCCTTCTCCACTTCCTGTACATCTGCGTAGTTGTTTGTAGCCATGGCGACAGGATCCATGGCAACACAGATCCCCATGGTTCTAAATAATAAAGGTGGATGGATGAACGAGGGGCGGGGGGGGCTCTGTGGCTATTTTAGCAAGTGTCTCGATGGAGAGTAATTGAGGAGGGCCCTTGTTAACAAGAGACCGGGTCTGCTTAGGCGAAGCTTCCAGGGGTGACACAGCCAGCCAGCTTCTCTTTGAACTGTTGAGTGGTTATAGAGGGGCGTAAGGGAGGTTATATATAGTTCAAGATACAAATCCATCACTGAGTATAAAACTATAAAAGACAAATCAGGGAAAGTGTGGCTGTGGATGTTGTGTGAAGGAGTGACAAGAAGTCGAGCAGCTAGGCAGCAGCTTGGACTGCCAAGGAGAGAGGAGAGATAAAAGAAAGGCAGACAGCGTTTGTCTGTAATGCGTTGGTGTTTTCCTGCATGAAGGTGTGTTTTTGAGAGATTAACATGCCTGCCTCTCTTTCCTCTGATCCCCAACCTCTCTCTCTCTCTCTCTCTCTCTCTCTCTCTCTCTCTCTCTCTCTCTCTCTCTCTCTCTCTCTGTGCATTAAAGCTGCAGTGCTACCTGAGCAGATTATATACCGTTTCTTTGCTGTTTACTCATGTTTTATTAAGACAACCGTGCTTTCCTATGCAGCAGTCACCTCAGCGAGGAGTCAGACTTTGATGCTGCTGTTGTATTTATTCTATTTTTTTATGACAATATTAACAGTGGCGGAAAGAAATGTCATACTCAACTACTGTACTGTGCAATTTAGAGGTACTTGAACTAGAGTATTTCCATTTTACTTCCATTATTCATTATTATTATTTTCCATTTTTTAACAGTTGTGATGGAATTGTATATATTCAAGGTAATTTCTTCTGAGCACTTTAAGAACTCAGGAACTAAAAAGCTAGTATTTTGTTTACAAAAATATTTTAATATATATAGTCCAGTAAATCAGAATAACAAGTTATACTATAGGGTTCCTTTTTCAATGCTTAAAATAGATTTTATAAAGAATGAAATTCATATGATTTTATGTAACCACAATAATATGTAGCTCCATTTCTAGTAAAATAATTTATTTAGTTACAAAATGCTTCACGCCTTAACATCTGAATATCTAATTCATAGCTCCACAGCTGCTTTCAGAATTGTTTTTAGGGTCCCCATTTATTTATTTATTTTTGAATTACCATGTAAACCATTCAGTGACCCCTCGTGGCCTGATGCATGTATTCATCTGCACTGATTATTCAGGTCTCTGTGTGTTATTCAGGGATGGCTCTTCAACTTTCTTCTCATGCGAACAGAATCATAACTCTGTGTCACGAAGCGCCTGTGCCTCGCTCTCATCCATTTTAAACAAGTGTCTTTTTCAAGGTTTAATTCAACACAGTGGATTATTTGAGAACATGAACAAGGTGTCTTCAGGCAACAAGAGGCCCACACTCACGTGCACACACGCTCCTGCTCTCTCTCGAACGATCCCACATAGATTTATACATTGGAGATGTGCGTCACTGGTATCCATGTGTGGGTAGGTTATGTTGCTGCCATACTGAATTGGATTATATTGCTTTTTTTAAAAACCATCTCTCCACACTCTCAATTAAAACCCTTGGCGCATTTTAACTTGTGACACTTGTGTCCACAGGCTTTACAGTTTCATTATAGCTCATATCATTAACATTTTGATTAGATAGCTTTTACTATCATCTCTTGAGGCAGCTGTGCGATGTGATTATCTTCCCAGTAATATGATGGTATACATTTGTTTGCAGGATTTTTTATCATCATGGAGCATCACACATTTTGACAGTCAATTAACAGACCTGGCAGAGTTACCATGGGAACAACTTCTTTTAGAGTTGACAGAACGGGAGAGAGTGCTCAGGAGCAACACCTTTAACAACCAACCTGTCTTTGTGGTTAACTGCAGCCCCAGGCAACTGAAGCATGTGTTATATGTATACATGCAACCGCTACTTTGTATCACACAGCTGTCGTCCTACAGTGTGGTGCAGACAGATGTTACACTTTACTCGAGCTGAAAATGAAATGGCGAGGAAGAGACTTTCAGTGGAAATCCCTTTTGAGCTGGGATGTTATTAGAGTGTCCTGCTGTCAGATTTCTGGGCGAACAGACAAAGAGGAAATCTGTGATACATAGAGTAAAAGCAATAATTACACATATTTTGGGCGGATAGAGAGAAGGCGAGGAGACATGTGAGGAGTAAAATGATGGAAACAAACAGACGATGAAAGGAAGAGACAGAAACAAAGTAAGCAAAATAAAAGTTCAGTATGGTACAGCTGAAAAAGAAGAGCTAAGAGACGAGAAAATATTTGTGTGAGATAGAAAACAGAGCAGCACACAGGCCAGGACATGGAAGGTAAAAAGAAAAACGCAGCTGATTTGATGACTTATTCAGGGTTTCTCTAGAGCGCTCTTCCAGGGGTCTCTTTGAAAAGGAGCATGTTTGAAGTGTCTGCATATGTGATAGTCTGTCTGTCAGTAGGGGGTGAAGGTGGTAGAACAGACAGAAAGACAGATACAGACTGTGAGGAGGTGAGATAGCAAAGGAGGAAGAGGAGAAGGGAAAGATTGCTGTAAATAGAGTGGATGTGAGTGAGGAAGACAGCATATCAATGCGCTCCTCTACACTGTGGAGGTAGATAGGAGGTAGGTAAGTTAGAGCATGAAAACGGGTTATTAAAGGGGCTGAAACTGATCTCTCACACTAGATTAGTGCAGAAAAGAAATGCTAAAGGAAGGCAGGAGACCAAGATGGGATAGAAAATGCTTTTATATGAACAACAAGGCAGAAGGAAGGAAAAAGATGGGACACAGCATAGGAATGTAGGAAATAAAAAAATGGGCGAATCAATAAAAAAAACAATGAAAAGAAAACAGCAACATGAAAAATGATCCATAAAAGCTGCGAATTGATGTAATTGCACCTTGGGAGCTGCAGGGACCATCAGCTTTTCAACGCCCTTGTGAGGAGTAAGGACATATCCGACCTTCTAGCTGGCAGCTAATGGGCAAACAGAGGCCTGACAGTTTCTCAGTTTAACAGGACGATCTGGGCTCACAGTGTTGGCTCCCATGCCTGCACTGTGTGTGTGTGTG